GAGAATCGGTGTTGTGCAAAAAAAAAAAAAAAAAAAAAAAAAAGGAAACCGTCTTCAATTGGTGAGTTTCCAATCCTGCTGGCAGATCACTTGTCAATTTGATTAGCTTCAGCTGCTCTCATTATCCTAAGCCTCTTCACGGAGTTCGTAAACATTCTGGATATATGATCAAAAGAGAATCAAAATTACTATACACATAAGAAAAATTAAACAAATAGAAGACCCCTCTTAAAACAGTTGCAAGAAACTGGAGTGTTACTGAGAGTATCTAGTTCAGAAGATTGTGTTATAAATTTCATCAGAATAACTAGAATGAAAAGGATGTGTACCCCCATGGAACATCGCCAACTAGCATCCAATCTCCGTCCCGATCTTCGTAAGTAAGCATGTACTCGGATAGTCCATTTAGTAGTCTGGAGGGTCTCACCATGTCATTTTCCTTTATGCTTGATCCTGTATCAGATGAAAAGGCGTCATTATCGGTTACCAGACAGAAAATATCTACCTTCATGAATTGATTCTAGAACAACACATATTCATCAATAAGTTAATAAGGTGATCCTTCCCAAAAGAGTTGAAATTTTTGCCTCAACTGATAATAAGAAGCTTCTCTCCAAACTCAAGAAAATGGTTGAATCCAATCCAAAAATACTGGCATTTACTTCAGGAAGAGACCCGTTCTTTCAGACATTCTCAACATTAACCTTCTTTTAGGCAGCTATAAGGTAATCCTAAAGGTCTTTTAAGTAAAAGGTTGTCTTAATTTCGTTCAGACAAAACGATTGCATCAATACAAAATTCACTTATAAACATGAAGTTACAGAGGCGAGAAAGGAATTACCAGTTGAATCAGCTAGTGCAGTGGGATCAAGGAACATGTTCTCTACTTTTTGGGCCAAGGTTTCGTAGCTACTGTAAGCACTGAGGTTAACCTTTCTTCCAATAAGAACTCCATCCATATTAACCTTCACGTACAAAGAATTTCTGGAATTCCTACTCTTTTCATTTGCTTTGTGTTTATCACCAACACCATTAGGTGTCCCTGCCTCCGTATGCTTGTTTTTATTCTTGCCAGCTTCTGCCTTGAATCCTTCTACAGAATGAGGTTTTGCCTGGTTAGCCAAGGTACTGATCCTAGAAGCTCTGATCGGTGGCCACCCCACGACCTGGTTACTTCTGGAAAAATAAATCAATATATTACATTTGTTTGTAATTTTAATCAATTTGTACCCAGAACAGATAAGGAAACAAAAAGAAGAGGAATGAAAAAAGAGTGTCTTTTGTTTTATCCGGACCCTAAGGCCTGTAAGCTACAATGGGAGCTGTTCGAGCTTTTTCATATTCATCCTTCTTGTTTGGTAGGGTGTTAATGCCGCAGAGATCATAGAAGAGGCAGAAAAAAAAGATTTGATGCGTCCTTTTTTATTGCCTTGAACCAATCCTAACTTTCTGATGTCCGGTAAATGAAGATAATTGAAGGGTTTTGAACTTTCTTTAGAAGTCTATTGCCCTCTTTGGACTTTCCCGGAAGGCTTCCCCTCAAGGTTTTAAAACACGTATGCTAGGGAGGTTTACACACCATTGTAAAGAATGATTCGTTCTACTCTTCAACCGATGTGGGATCTCACAATCCACCCCATTGGGGGCCAGCGTTCTTGCTGAAACACCGTCCGGTGCCTGCCGCTAGCAGATATTGACCTGTGTGGGCTTTCCCTTTCGAGCTTCCCCTCAAAATTTTAAAAAGCGTATGCTAGAGAGAGTTTGTTTCGCTCTCTTCCCCAACCGAAGTGTGATCTCACATTTATGGAGTCTAATTCTTAGGTGATGAGGTAGCAAATATGCTCCTTTTGAATGCTAACTTGAAGTTCTACCAAATAAATTACCATGACGACTTGACAAGTTTTAGAAAGACATTTGAAAGGGCTGTGCCTTCGAATCATATCAGGGCATCTCATCCTTTGAAGTCTAGCAAAGGCCAGTTTTCAGTTTTTTCACAGCCGTATCATATTTAATTAGAGGAAGTACGGCAGTAAACCAATCCGAAAATGTTAAAAATGATTCCCTATCTATATTCAGCTCGCTGTTTTGCTTTCCGGATGGGGAAGAGGGAACCAGAGGAACCATAAAAGGAAGCAAGAGCTAACATATCTGTCAGTATCAGATTCATCAAAATAAATATTCAGAGATTCGAATCAATAGTGTACTGAAAAGCAGAACCAGATAAACACATGCAAATTCACAGCTACGGGAGTAATAATAGACCGTTACAAGACGGAAAGAGAGGCACAAAAGTCAAAAAAAAAAAAAAAAAAAAACTTGAAAGTCAGATTGGAAATAATCACCCATAGAGGCCGTAATTAAATCGCGTTAGAACTGTGTTAATAGACAAATCTAAAACTGGTAGTGATCGATCAGAGAAATTAAATTCGTATGCTTCACAAACTTGGTTAAACCATAGAAAAGGTCGAATCAACTACGCACTAATCACTCGGCATCAGCAAGAATTAGTAATCAATACCTCCCGCCATTAGTAGTTGCTGCAGAATCAGAATTTATCTTAGAGCGATTAGTGACACTGAATCCACAAGGCCACGACGAGGAACAAACAGATGAGCTCGACGAAGACATAGAAGAGTGAGAGGAGATCGACGCAGGAAATTCCTCAGCCATTAAAATTTTCCCAAATTGAAGCATCGCAACTTTCTGAATCTTGTGTGCCGAATCACGAACGCCGAGGCTGAGCCCTAGCCCCAATTCGATCTCAGATTCATCCGGAGACTCGTCCTCCGAAGACAACACCACGCTTTCATCTCTGGAAACAGTCGACATAGATTCTTCGGAAATTACAGCAGCTCCTCGTTGAAAAAGCACAGAAAATTACTCGATTAAACCGTAATGAGAGAGGAAGACGAAGAAATTGAAGCAGAGGTAAGGGGGATTTATGGAGGGAGTGGGTTGATCAGAAACGAAGTCTTGAAGTGAAAGGAAATGAACAAATCAACGTCAACAACAACAACTAACAATAACGAGCAAATAAAAAGCAATGTCGTGTGAATGGTGAGGAGGATTTGTTTGGGAGAGATTAGGAAAGGGAAAGAGAGAGAAGGAAGGTTTAATGGTGGTGGCGTGATGAAGAAGATGGAGATTGATATTGAAGCAACGGCATTGATTGAGTTTATGAGGAATTGGACCCACCTGTCTGGTTTGTGCGCCTCCATCTCCATCATTGTCTTCTTCCATACTCATTCTTCCTGCCTCGGCTCAGCCCTGCCCCTGGCCTTAGCCTTAGCCTATTTTTATTGATATTTTGAATTTATCAGCTACGTATATTTATACGTTACTAAAATGGGCTTGAGCCGAGCACATTAACTTTTCCCTCTCTTTAATTTCGTCTCTAAATAAATGGTAAAAAAATAAACTTAAAATATTTAATATGTTCCGAAATAATAAATGCCAGCAAATTTACCAATTCAACCATGATTTTTTTTAATTCCGATTTTACCCTTTAGCAGGTGCAAAACAAAAGACACTCCTTTATTAATTCTTGGTAGAAGTATATTTCTTTAATAATTTTATTAGGCCGTGTATTTTTACTATTATTAATTTTGTATTGAGAGGTTGAATTTTCAATTATGTAATAATTGACCTCTTATTTAAAAAAAAATATGAATCTATTAGATAATAAAATTGTAATAAAATTGTGGCCCAAAGAATTAGCCCCGGACCTATATGAAAATGATAAATTGACGATATTTTAGGAGAAACATGAATACGATAACGATACAAAGAAAGCACTTGAAGGAAATGAACAGGGGCCCACATTCAGCTGTTTCTAAAAGTGAGCCCGACAAGGTGGGGCCCACCTCATCACACTGCTATACACGTCGGAAGTCACATAACTTCCGCGGGCCCCACCAGCCATTGGATGAATCGGATTGTTGCCTCGTGTGAAGATATGTTTCTAACTAAACTATAACCCAACTAATATATAAGAGGTGTGATTTTAATTTCAACATTATTTTGTTTATATTAGTGCCTTATAGTACATATCTCACCCACTCCTAATTAATAATAACAATAATAATAATTTTATTTATTTACCATGAACCAAAAAATTGGGCTCATAAAGTCGAAAATGTTGAAATATGTTCCTATAATCATCCAACCACGCAAAATATTTCTCCATTTTATAATGTGATTCAAGTTTTTAACGGACTAACAATTATGTTAATGGGCCAAACAGTCTTTAGCATCAATCAACCAAATTCAATGAGTTTAGTTTATTATCATCCTTATCTAGTCGAGCATGTTATAGGTAAGTTATTTTATTAATGTAGTTAAATATTTCAAGTTAATTCTTCTCATAGAAATAATTTGAATTTATTTAGTTTATTTTCATAAATTAAAATAAATTAGAATTATGTTATTATTATATATTAATTCTCTATATATATTAATTCAATCTATCTTTCCCACATCTATATGTACATCTTTTTTTTTTAATTGTACCTATTCATAAATTTGTTTAAAAATAAATCAACAAAAAATGTTTCTTTTGATTTTCTTCTCCACGGTTGAACAAAACAAATTAATTTTAGGGGCAGAATGGTCATTGTGACACTTTCTTTTCACTTCTGAGGAGTATCCTAAAAAGGAAAAATGAAAGAATCGAACGACTTCGAACCAATTCAGTCATTCAAAACAAACGAAGGGAGAAGTGAAAATCCCTCACAGCCGCCATCGTTCCGGTCATTCTCGAAGTTCCGCTGCAATGGCATCCCGAAAAGGCGGAGTCTCTCTCCCGGAACGGCGAGGGTCCAAGGCCGAAGGCAACAAAAATGGCATAATCTCCAGGTTCTACCAGTCTTCAGCGGTGACTCGAGGAAGAGAGGCTGCTTCTAACGCCGTCTTCGTCTCCAAGAAGCTCCTCCGGAGCACTGGAAAAGCTGCCTGGATCGCCGGCACCACTTTCCTCGTCCTTGTCGTCCCTCTCATCATCGAAATGGATCGCGAGCAGCAGCTGAACGAGCTCGAGCTCCAGCAAGCTAGCCTTCTTGGAGCCCCTTCTGTTGGCCCGCCGCTTAAGTGAGTTGTTGGTCGCGTCGATACTTGATGGAGGCCCATCGGTATTCATTTCTCACTTGTAGTAGCTCATTTGCCCTCTAATTAGGTCATTTAAGCTTGCGGATCGATTAGTTTGCTAAGCGGTAGTCCCGAGATTGTTGATTAACTAGTTGGAAAGGAACTGGTTGTCTCTTTTTTTCTGATGATGATATGTTAGGTGAAACAAGAAGAGTTTTTCTTTAGTTATGGTTTGTAAGGCACTCTGAATTGGTTTACAGATACTTTCAATTCAAAGCCCTATTTGGTACGAGATTTAGAATAAACGATCCATGCTAGATTTTGAGTCCATTGCTCCCTTTTAAGCTCTGGCGCATAATACTTTGAATGGATGAAGTTGATGTTGAATTTTAAAGATAATACACATTTATCTACGTTGACAATGATGTTCGATAGCATATATGTATACAAGGGGTGGGGAATTTGAACCTTCTAACATGTTCGGTAAATGAAGAAATATGTTCAATCTCACTAGGAAGGAGTTTTAAGTTATCATGGGTCGCTCGGGTATCCTTCCTTTTATCTGGTTTTAATTAAGTTTTGGCAACCGGAACCTCTCTAAAAGAGGTAGGGGGGAAATAATAAGCATACTGCAGTCATTTCCTTATAGAATAAACATTATTGAAAAGATTGAGATGAATTGTCTTTTGGAATCTAAATCTTAGTAGCAACCTTCTTAGCTTCAAATTATTTTTCTTTTCGTAAGGGAGTTGGATGGCTGGTGAGTGGAAATGCAGAACTAGGATGATTTTTTCTGTATTTATGTGGTAACAGCAGTGTCATAGTCAAGTAGGAGTTATCTTATGTTGATTTTATCTCGAGGCATGGGATATACTTTTAATCTTATAGGAGCTTGAGGTGTGTTGAACTTAAAATCAACTTCATGGTTACGTTTCAGCGAAGTGGCTCAGTTAATTTAGTAGCTACCCAAAATAAGGATTTTAGAAGGGTAATTAGCTTATTTGATTGAATAGGTTCGTGCAGGTGGTTGGAAAGGGAGAAACTTGTAGGGTTCTATTTGTTTTCTGGAAAAACAAATGCTAGTCATCTCACTGTTGTTGGGAAATTTGGATTTGATCATACTTGTTATCTGACTCTCTTAGCATATTAGTCCTTGCTCGAGATGGGATTTTTGGATAGAAAAGGGCAAAGATCTACTTGTTTCATGTGCATGTTAAAACTACTATGGCAAGCTGGGGTGTGTACTATCTTGTAGGAGCTTTGGGGTGAGAGAAACAATATAATCTTTCAAGGGCTTGAGAGGTCTCTGTGATTCTATGCTTCTCTTTGGGTTTCAGTGGTAAAGGCTTTTTGTAATTATTCTTTAGATCTTGTTATGCTTGATTGGAGGCCTTTCTTGTAGGTTGCCTCCTTTTGTGAGCTCTCTTGTATGCTCTTATATTCTTAGGATGTCCCTGGAAACTGCTCGATTCTGATTTCAGGTTGCAGAAACTGGCTCTTAGAACAGTCTGCAAGCTGTCCATACTGTTGTATGTAAAGAAGGATTTGGGATCTCAGTATGCTACTTTACCATCATTTCAATTCTTCTTAGGAAATGGTCGACTGTTGGTATGACAGGTTTATTGATCTTCTACCAAGCTATATTCTTAGTAATCTCAGCTTCATGCATGGTGGGTTTAAGAATGAACTGCACAATGATATACAAGATGAATGAAACCGTTTCTTTTCTCTAACCTAAGCTAGGTTGAACTTGTTAACTTTTATCCGTTGAGTGATAGCCCTTTCATTCGGCATTGTTGGATCATTAAGGCCAACTTTTCTTCATGCTCAACGGGTAGTTCCGTCTGTCAAGCTCCCTTTGGCTTTTTACCTCGAGGACCTATCTATGTTTGGCTTGAGGTAACTTTTGCACGCCTCTGTGTATAACCGTTTGGGAGGCCTACACCCCATAGAAGCTATCCAACATTTTCTCATCCAAGAGACCTTTTAGTAGCCCTTCAGTCAGTTAACTCGTGAAAATAATGCTAAATGGAACTCTCTTTCTCTGAAGGGAACAAGTGAAACGCTTTTGGTAGAAAGTTAGGAGTTGATTGCTTAGAGAGTAAGCTGATTTCCCCCCTTCTTTTGGGAAGAAAAGAAGGAAGATATGTGAGATTTTGTTGTTCCTGCGAGGCATTGGCTAATAAAATTATAAAAAGCTTCACGGTGAGCTTGATCTTTTCTTAGGTATGAAGTAAAAGTCATATAATTGGATTGCTGATGCATCCTTACTTTTTATTAGGAAGAATGACTTTATACTCTCTTGTCTATATGTTTATACATTTTTTATGTGCCCTAATTTAAACTCTTTATTGGTTCATTGCAACTTCAGATGAAATTTCTGGTGCTGGAGATAATTGGGGAAGGTTTCTCAATCATGGACATTTTGGGCTCTCTTTGTCCATTTATAAAAAGCAAAAGTTTGGCCATTCAAGACAGACAGCCACAGCCATAAAGGTTGAAAAATTGTTCAAGTCATTCTTTTGGTAGTACGGTAGTGTCACAACTTTTGAAATCTTTAATTTTAATTAGTTGAAATATGTTTAAATTTTTTAAATTTTTTGAATAAAAAATTCTTCAAGCAATAGATAATTTAAAATTTGTGTCTCAAGTATAGTATATCTTTTATTTATTTTATTCATTGAACTCTTCTAATTATAAAAATAGTTAAAAATTATCTTCGGTATATGTTTATGTGGTCATTCTACATGGTTATCTTCGTACTTACATGTTTGATTTTTAATTATGTGACAAATCGTGCCTAAAATCCATTGAATCTTTACTTTATTTAAGGCTTATGTAGGAAGGAAGAGAAAATTTTATTTTTCTATTGACTAGAGATCGAATACAAATTAAACCGGAAGAGCTTACAAATTGTTTGGAATGCCTTCTTATAATTTTTTTTTTAAAAAAATTATTGAATTTTTTTATATATTTTATATTTTGAAGGGTGCTTTAAATAACAATTTTGTTTAATTGCACTTGGTTTATTATAAATATATGTTTTAATCAAATCTATTGACTTATAATTTATCTTAAATATAATTAGGAAAAAAAAGGAATACAATCTCTCTTTTATCTTATTCTTTCATGTTCCTCGTTGATTGTTTTTGGTCTCTTTTTCTTATTTCCAAGTAATTCATATCATATGAACAATGCTTTCATTTAATGTCATTCATGTTATCTGGTAGAGTCGAATAACATTAAGACATTAATTAATAAATGAAAGATGTACTACTCTTATTTATGGTAAGATGTACGGCTCTTATTTATTATATTCATGTTAGTATCATTTAAGAATGATATAGAGTTCAATAATATTAATACCTCAATTAATAAAAAAAAATAACTTAAAAATTTTAGAAATTTCTCTGAACAAACAAAAAGCTATTCTTGTTGTTTAAGTTATGGCTGCAAACTAAAGAAAAATAAAGCATAAGAAAGGAGATTAAAGTAAAGATTGTGGAAGTGAGAAGAAGACAAATGTCTTTTCTTTCTTTGTTGCACTTTTTTTTCCATGTAATCTTCCCCAAACTTTAATCTCTTTTCCATGAACTGATAGTATGAAAATCAACCCATTCAAAATTCTTTGTAGAAATCATATTGTTTCGACTATATCCGATCTTGTATCTATAAACAAGGCATCATCTAATCGAGAAGTGTACAAAATGGCTCGAATCCTCACAAATATATGAAAAAAGTGCTGCTCTATCTTCATTTACAATACTAGGATACGTAATGAAATAAAAATGACCGTGAAAAAGCGAGAAATCAGCCTCCATGTTTGCCTTTTTTCTTCATCACTGATCTAACAAAGAGCAAACAAACAATAAGAAAGGCCAAAGCTGCAAAGCCTCCCACTGCAATGGCTACCGTTCTCTGTGTATTATGGCTAGACCCTACACCATTGAAACCCAATCAATGTGCCATTATACTCATCACCAAGAAATGTATATTCTATACTTGCATGAATTGAAAATGGCCCAAATATTTTTATATTGAATCACTCTTTTTGTCCATTTTCAACAAAAGCAAAGTGGGTCTAAATTCTTTAATTTTCAGTCAATGATTTCTCACAGACGCATCAGAAAGAGAAAAGAAGATGAAAATCATCCCAATTTCTCTCTCAGGTTCAACATGTGAAAGCGAAATTTGAACTACTGAAAATGGATGAATATAAAAAATTAACACCAAAGAATTAAAGGGTTCTATCGATTTCTGAAATTTGATCATTACCTGAAGATGATGATATGCTGGGGATTCCATTTGGGTAGTAACTGTAACTGACATAGCACTTGTTCAGATAAATCTGCCCGGAAATGGCGTAACCGCACTCACTATTGGCCCTCTCCGACGCCGTCTTCACACAGTCGCTGCAATCGCCGCCGCTCAAATCCCCTTGGCACTGTCCCAACACATAAAGCGATCGATAACTTCCAGTGTAAAACAGAGCACCGCTATTTTTTACCCCAGTTTCGACCATTTCAAAAGCTGTATTCCTCCTCTCTTCAAACCCACTTCCGACGGCTTTAATCGACCCACAAATCTTGAAAAGCAACTCCATCCCTGAAACTTGTCGGAATCCGGCGACCTCGTAGTGTAAATAGCAACCGATGAGTTGGACTCTGGCCGCCACGGCCTGGCCGCAGAGCTTGTCCACCATAGCCGGAATCTTGCTAACGCAGTCGTTGCACTGTTGGATTGAGAGGTCGCCTCTACATTGGAACAGTCCCTGAATCGCATTTCCGCCATCGCCGGAGCTTGTAGAGAAGAAGGCTTTCTGGGAAGATTGAGAAATCAGTGTGGAAAAGAGGGATTTGAGATTTTGGGCGTAAATTCCAGATGGGTCTTGGAATTTTTGCGGAGAACAGCCCTTGAAAACCAAGGATGTGGTGTCTGTGGCAGCCATGGCGAAGAAAAATAGGCGCGAAATTGAGAGGAAAAGGAACAGAGATGGAGGTTTTTGCAGAGAAGCCATTTGGGAATTCGAATTTTTCTTATTTTGCGTTCAAGGAATCATAGACTGGGATTGGAATTTCATGATTTTCAAAGGGATTTGTGGAGATGGTTCTTAGAAGGGGAAAGGGCTCTGTTTCTGTTTCGCTATATATGGTCTGTTTTGCAGGCTGTATTGACGGTCGGTGTCAGTGTCCATGCTGCTCATTCTTTTTCTGTTGCGTTGTGACTTTTGGTACACTTCCACATACCTGCTTCTGCCAAGCTGAGACGATTAGCCTTGGGTTATTTGAAATACAATTTTTTTATTTTTTTATTTTTTCATTTGCCAAACATTATTAGATAAATTTTAAAAACAAAAATAAGCTTTCGTTTGTTTTTTTTTTTGTCTTTTTTTTTTTTTTTTTTTTTTTTTTTTGATTTTTTAAACAATTTTTNAACTTTTCAAAACTTAGTTTTGTTTTTAAAGCATATATAAAAGTACTATGCAATATAATTATTACTAAATATTTTATCAAAAATAGTAAAATAAACTATTTAATAAAATAAAAAACTAGCAAGATAAATAAGTTGATGTGTAAATAAGATGAAAAAGAATGCGAACACCAATTGATATTATATTAACAATATTCACACAAATTAGATCATTATTCATGTGTAAAAATTAATAATGTAAATAATTTTGGCAATATATTTTAAAATAAAATAAATAATAATAACAATTTAACACGTTAATTTCTATAATTTATTTTAGTTTTTTTTTTACCAATTACAAAATTAAAAAGGATATACGGCATAACTAAAATATACCTGCATATTTGGTAGAATTTATTATTAAATTTATAATTTAACGTAAAAAATAAATAAAATTTATAGAATTTATGGGATCAAACTGCCCCAACAATTTTAGAGGGAAATTATAAAACTTTTTTTTTTTTTTTTTTTTTTTTGTATATTTGAGTATTGTTCCAATTCTATAATTTGGCGAAATCAGGGAAGAGAAACCGGAAAATCCGGTGGAAGTGCCTGGCATTCTTAACAGACCCCAAAGCTTTATATATGGACTACATTTAACATTTTTCCCTCTCTCCTCCTCCATCTCCCTATTTTCTCTTTCTGCCGTCAAAGATCTCAGAAGCTCAAAGCGATCACTCAGAAGGTGCTCGAACTAGACCTCGATTCTTTTAGAGTATAATCATATGCTCTTCTTTCGTAACTATTTTATTCGCCGTGAATTATGTTTTTGATTTCTTTAAACGTCCAATGGAATTACGATTTCCCTGTTTTGTCGTTAGAAATTTCGCTGTGAGCCAACGTTTTCATGTACTCTCTCTTTGATTTGATCTGTTGATTTTCTGGATGATTTTGAGTGCATCGATCGATTATTCAGACGATGACTGCACAAAATTTTGTTTTAGAAAAGAAAAAGAAGTGAATTAGAAAGACAATGGACGCTTTGGTGTTTTTTTGGGGGGATTTCTGGTTATATTGTGACGTAAATCAACAATGCTTAAGTACTAAACGTTCTGATCTATGGAGATTTCGAATTCCATTTTCCTTTGTTCTGCACGGTTCTTTTTTTCTTGTTCATTTGATCAAAAATGTCGAGAAAGCTGTAGGCATATATAGATTTCTTTTCCGCTTCTTCTTTAAGTATCCTACCGGAATGTTTATCTTAAGCTATCAGTATGTTTTTCTATCCGAATGTTGACGTGCATAAAATTGCATGAGAGTATGACCACACACACACTTGACACTTCTTGGAACAGTGAAGTAAGCGCAGTATACTGCATTCACGGTTAATTTTGAATATTGTGTTATACTTGTGTTGAATCGTTGATTGCTATTTTTCTTGAAGTTATACTGTTTCCTGAGGGTCACATTTTGGTTTTAATCTCTGGAAAAATAATTCCGTCTGTGTTAGTTTCGAGTTGTAAGAGTGGATTATTCCTACAATTCTGATACAAATTATGAGCAGAGCCTTATCCATCAAAATGTAGCGTTTCTCCGACCAGTGAAGAGATGAGCAATCTGGACTTGTTTTAGAATTCCAAAACTAATTCAAATTCATAAGAAAATATATTATTGACACTTTCGAAATTCAGATTGGTACAGAGAAATGGTAAAAATTTTAGATTGGCTTCTACAATCAAGTTTCTGATTTCAGATGTTAAAGATATATTTTTGCAGTCTACTTCGACTTCCTTTCTTCTGCCCCCAGTTCCTCTCCAGGAAATATTTAGCAGTCCGTTGTTGACGCTGACTTGATAAAGGAGCATCCAGCGTATTCGGTAATTGTAATTTCCGATATGGAACTTGGAAAGGTAGTGTATGCAATGAAGAAATCAAAGAACTTGTGATTTCTTAAAAAGATGGAAAGATCCATCTTACAAGAACTAAAAAAACAAACAGCAATGGGGATAACAACAACCAAAATAAGCAAAAGCAATAGAAAAATCCCCAAACACATACATTTCCTACTATTCCTTTGCAAATCCTTAGCAGTTTTCAAATCCATAGCCCCATCGCTAACATACTATGAAGCATTCATCACATTGTGTTCAATGTTATCCATTTCCTGCCCTTGTGTCTCCGCCATCACGGCCATGTCCAAAAACTCTTTGTGCAGCTCTAGCAAGCGCTTCTCTATCTCCTTCACCACCCCGTGTCGGACCCGTATCTCCTTCATCGTCTCTGCCACCTTTCCCTGCCCGTGTTCCTCTATCGCCCTCCCCAAAAACTCCTCCCTGCCATTCAATAATATCTTCTCTGTCACCTCCTCATTCGGGTGCTCTCCTGTCACCGTGAAGTATCTTTGCCAGACCGTTTCCTTGTACTCGGTCATCATCCTCTGCCTTAGGCTCTGAAACTCCATCATCAGCTCCTTTAGCTTCTTTCGCCACCCATTTGTCACCACGATTTGAGTCCTGAGAATTCATTAAATTTACTACAACTCGTCCACTTCATAGTTTTTTATATGCGTAATTAAGTAGTCTTCTATAAACCATTTAAATTTTGTAAAAATACATGATTACTACTATAAAATGTATCTTTTTTGCGTTGAGTGGTAGTTCAATTGTAGCTGTAAATGGCAGTGCCCTCTTTGCTGTCGGAGAGGCTTTTCCTTCAGAAATACTCCAGACAAGTATCTGGTGTTATAATTCAATGAGTCTAAATTAAGACCTTGGACATGACCATAGCGCAAGGACTTTATCGGCCTATTTTGTCCTAGAATCATCCTTGGACAGTTTATGAGAAATCACCATTGGGAATGACTCAAGATTTCAAGCATTCTCTGTTGGAGCCTTCACTGAGTTTCTATTTTATTTTGCATATGATCATTAGGAAATATGTTATCCAATTTGGAGTTTTATCACCAAGTTTTGATCCAAATTATGTGTGAAGAAACTTAGTCAAATTAGTTGATTTTTTTTTTTTTTTTTTTTCTTTTCACTTCAATATTCCATAGGCTGGAGGATCTTTGCGAAAATCAGAGCTCAGAAATGAAGCATGAGACAGAAACTAAGTTGCCCAAGACTGAGCAATTGATTCAAGAAGCATCTGTGGAACAGAAATATAACCAGGGAGAACAGTATAGTCCAGAAAATGGCCTTTCTGATCCTGACATGGGCTCTGTTGTTTCACCTAATATCTCAAATGTATGTTCTACTTCTACTACCAAACAACTGTTATTTGTTGTTCTAGACTTGTTGGTTGCTGAACTACTATTAAGGCATGTTTGGACGTAATTTTGAAATGGTTAAAATCATCTTTTTAATCATTCAAAATAAATTTCAACGATATATCGATTGATTCAATCCCAAACATTCTCTTAGTGTGTGGTAGAATTATTAACTGAATTGACATTGCAGTATTCGTGTTCGATGGACATTCTTTCCAATGATGAACTTGGCTTCCTAGAACTGCAAAAGTTAAATAATATCATGAAAGCCTCTTACAAGGAATTCATGACAATAGCTGTCACTGCAAACGCTTGGGTTTTCCATCCTCCAGTGGTAGGTTCAGTAGAGGATATACAAGAGATGTTCCACACTCCACCACCTCAGGGATCTATAGTGGAATGCTCCGTTGTGAGTGTAGTTTTCCCTGTTACTTCACGTTTGCTGGCCTCGATAATGATGGATGCGGTAAGATATCCTTAACCTGGCTTTGATTCTCTATAATCTCATCTGCCGTGTAAGTTCTTTCATACCACATTCGATCATTTGTTTATTTTGTTTTGGGCCAAAATTTTTGTAAGTTAAAAAGTGATAGGTTTGTGATATATGTATATTTAATATTTGGTTAAGTTACAAATCGATCCAAGAAAGTTAGAATTTAGTTAATATGATTTAATGTATTATAATTTGTCTTTAAGACAATTTATGAGATTTTTATCCAACCATAGAAACTATTTATTAGATTTTATCAAACTATAAGAATGAAATTCATTGGGACCAAAGTTGTAATTACATTAATCTTTTGTATATGTTCTTACATAATCCACACTATTTACAGGAGCGATGGGCTTCAATGTTTTCCAACATAATTTGTTATGGATCAGAGGAAGCTGTTGTCGCTCCTTTGAAAACATTATGGACGACAGATACTTTGGAAGTGATACTGGTAACCAACCTGCTCGATCCCATTTTTCTTCGTAGACGCTGGATGAGATAACTCGTCAACATGGAAAACAAAACGTATTAACTTTATCATGTGATAGGTCAATGCCGAGTTTAGACTGCCAGCTGAATACCTGCCAAGAGGGAGAATTCGCTTTTTGAGATTTAAGAAAATGATCGTGCCAGATACATGGGCAATTTTCGATGTGTCCACTGATTATTTCGATGATGCAACCTCTGATCCTGCCCAGAATATTGCATACAGGCGGAGGCCATCAGGAGTGATCATTCGGCAGCGTGGTTTTCATTGTGAGGTTTGTTTACAGAATACCATGATCTTTGAGTAACTGCTTTGGAGTATTATCGCACAACTTTTATGATATATGAATAAGAAAAATATTGATATGGAGTTCTAACTCGTATATTTGATTGATTAAAGAAGTTAGAGGTTCGAATCTCTAATATTGAACTTAAAAAATAATCTACATGAAAGTATATATACGTTTCCCTGTATGTATAACATTTAAAAATTTAAATGTAGATATTAGAAGGCCAAAATAGGATTGAAACTCCAAAATTTTAGTTATAATGCTTGACCTTTGTTTTCTGTTTTTTGTATTACAGGCTATATGGATTGAAAATTCAGTGGTACAGGAGATTGATATCCCAAAAAATATATGCTCAACATTCACTTCGAACTTTCCTTTAACTGCAGAGCACTGGGTCAGCATGTTATCACAAAATTTGAAACGTAGACGTAGCAAGGTAGTAACTTCAGAGATGTTCGATGAAATCCACGGTATGGTGTACGCTTTTATTTTCCAAGTTCATGACTGCTCTCTCAATATTGTTCATCGTTGAAGCATCTGCATTTTTTTTTTAAAAAAAAAAAGTTAAATTCTAATACTATTTGATTAATGGAATAACAGGTTTACCAAATCTCTTGGTAATTGGGGATAGTCTGAGGAAAGTCTATATAGAAACAGTTAGTCCCTTTCCAAGGGAAAAAACTTGGGATTTATTTTCTGATGATAAAGTAAGGATCCTGAGAGACATGAATGCACATAGCAGTGGCTATCCCAATGATTACATTGCCTCAACTACCATTTATATCCCACAAACCCCCCTCAGACTCTTAACATTTATGGACACAAATAATGTGAAACTTCAGGTACGCTCCTTAGCTTGAGTTTTAAACATTATGAACAATTCAGAAAAATGCTTCCTAACATGACTACATACAGTGGTTGAGCATAAAATCACAGGCACAGCTCAAGACGTCGGTTGTATTTTTCTCACAAGATGAAAGTAACTGCATTAGTTTACGTGCAAAAGTTGACACAGGAGATGGCGAGGTCGTGGAGGTGATTCTCTATACATAAACATCTCAACCTGATACTTCCCCAAAACTTTTGTACTTCAATTTTATGTTTGTTTTTTGCAACAGGCCCTTGAATTCTTCGTACAAGAGACTTCATTGGATGAATACTGTTCCTTCGTCATATCGTCACGAATGTCAGAAGCAGATGTTCATCTCTCTCTCATACCGAGGTTTTGTAAGGAAAGTTTGTGTCTGAGACCTTCTGGTTTTGCTATAATGCCTGCTGGACCGGGAGGTCTACAGTCCAACGCGTCGTTGGTGACAATATGCATTCGTCGAGAGCTCGAAAATATGAAAGTTGATCGAGTAATTGAAGAAATGAGTGGTTACATGAATGCTGTCGTTGATCAGATAACTCATATCCAATCTCCAAACGTCGTTGAAGATGATCTGAACTCTGAATGGAATAATACTACAACCCTTTAATGGTGAGGTAGGATAAAACTCAGGTAACGAGGAAACCTTTCATTTTCATGCACAATTGTTTCTATTCTTTTCCCTATTCGTTCTACTACTAGCATTGAACCTATGATGACGTCCTAGGCTACAATTTATGCAGGTTTGTTTCTTCAATTTGTAGGGAGTTTCCATTTCTTGCTTTTTTTATTTAGTTGAATGTTGGCACATTATCCTTTCAATACTCTAAAAGAAAGAGGGTTTTTATGGTTAGTAAATTTGTTTATTCATTAACTATGGGGAGTTTTTTTTTTGTAATTTTTACTAATCTTGGAAGTTAAGTTCCAATTAAATAATTTTTATGTGATTTATGAGTTTAATTTCATAGTCTTAAAATCTTACAAACACTTCTCCTTACCACTCTTTTAACACAGCTCAATTAAAGAGTATTCTCTCCTTTCAAGAATGTTTGACCAAAGTTGGAGTGTTGTTTGTTGTGCAACTTGAAAGTTAGAAGCTTTTTGGGCATAAAATAATGATTCAAGCTCGGTTTTGTCGCCAAAAAGGCTTATGCATCTTAATTTTTTTTTTTATTTTGGTGTTTATTTTCAATATATTAAGTTTATTTTATAAGTTAATGGGAGAGGTGAACCCATATGATATAGATATAGATTATTCGTGGTACAATTTATTTTGTGTTTACCATCGACATTTGTTATTTATTACATCAAATATATGATTTTTAGAAAATTATTAATGATGTAGAATACGGTCATTATTAAATTTGTGTGGCATTAGCCTATTAACCTACTTATCACTTTATATTAATTCAATCAATATTTTTTAGTTGACCTGTTATTATCAGTGGAATGGAATTGAAAGTATACTAACAAAATAGTATTTTCTCCAATTTAAATTTATAATAATAAATAAATTTGATAATTCTTTTTTTTGGTGAAGAATAATATTAAATGCATAATAATAGAGATGGCAATGAATCATGCTTGGGAACAAGTTGACCTAAAAAGATATAATTAAAGAAAGGAAGCATGCCTGGACCAATTGTTATACTTATTTAATAAAACAAATAGTAATTAGTTTCCATAACTAAGACACTTATTGCCTTCCTAATTTGAAATAATTAGTTTTTTTTAATAATTAATAATTTTCTTAAAAGATTCAAGATAACAGAAAAGGACAAAAAAAAAAGGTCACAATTCCCTCCAACATCTCCATATTTAACAAGGAAAAAACTTAATAATTTCCTCATTAGATACCGATTGAGAGTGCATTGCTCCTCTCTTTATATGGAACTTCCCCTTTTGGCCATTACAAATGAGCCTATTGCTCTTTAAACCATTATTCAACGACCAAGCTTCAGGCAACCATCGGCGGCTCCTCCACTTCCTCCGTCGTTGTTTATCGCCGGAATTTCAGATGCTGACCAAAACCGCCGTCGTTTCATCCGCTGCCAGAGTAAGAACAATTTCTTATTTTAGATGAATAAATACCGCCCTTTATTTATTTATTTAATTATAACATAAGTGTAGGTTAGATAAATGAATTCTTAAACAAAGGTTAATCAAACCCAAACGACCGTGTTTATATTGCAATATTAAAAAGAAATAATTTAGTTGATTTTGAGATTCTAATTTTAATATTTAAATTAAAATATTTTTTTATTATTAAAGATTATGTTTTAATATTAAAATTAGAAATTTTAGACATAATGTTAGATAAAATATTATATATATATATATATATATATAATATTTATTTATTATAATTTTTTATAAAGATTATATTTATTGAAAACTTTAAAATGAAATATTAGCTAGGGAAGCATTAAATGAAAATTTTGGAAATGGCTAGGATGGGAACTAAGAAGGTTTCTTTGTCCCCACCACATCTCGTGGGCATCTCTAATTAAAACCTACTAGTTTAAGGATGTTGGTATGAAATTAATGTATAACACCAATTAATAAAAATCTCAAAATTCACCATATTTATATTAAAAATTAAATTAGTTTTTATTTTATTTTTCTCAATCGAGTTCGAGAAGGTAATTAGTATATGACTAAGACATAAATAAAAACTTAAACACAATCTTTAACTAACTAAATATCAAAATAGCTAATTATAGAAAATTCCAATTTAAAAAAGACCTCTAATATTTTTTAAAAACTAAAAGATACTCTCACTGAATTTCAAAAATATTTTGTTATTTTCAAAACTATAAATACTCTTCTTCAAAAATATTTAAAAAATATTCTTACTCAAAATTGCTTATTCTATCTCATCTTTCTTCCATCATGAAAATGAATGAAAATAATAAATAATCAGCATTTAAAACCATCAAATTGACTAAATAAATTCTAAAAACGTCTATAATTATAATGTTTATTTTATTGAACTAAAATTAATAATTTATAGGTATTTTTTATTATGTGGGCTAATTGAAAAGTGCGGAGTAATAAACGATACATCTCTCCGACTTGGCAAGAAAGACTGAATTATTTTTCTCCGAGATTTAATATTTTATATACATATTTAAAAATATTTGTTGATTTCTTTTTCTCCAAGATTTAATTCAATATACATATGTTCTAAAATCTTGGTTTCTTCTTCATCAGGAAGCCATGGCGATGAACAGCAGCAGCCACTTACCAGAGGACATCATAATTGAAATTCTTCGCCACTTCTCTCTAAGATCTCTCGCTAAAGCAAACTGCGTCTCTAAGCTCTGGCAAACCCATATTTCCACCATACCTCTCCTTCTTCATGCCGCCATTTCCTCTCCTCTGCACCATGGCTTCTTCTTTCAGGGCTCCACCATCAGCAAAAATGGCGTCCCGATTCACTTCTTCCCTTCCTCTCTCAATATTCTCAACACCCATTTCTATAAACTGATTTCCTCTAGCAACGGTCTTCTTCTCTGCGGCAAATCCAATCAAAACCCTATTGTCAACTACTCTGTCTGGAATCCCGCCTCCAATCGCCTGATTCCAATCCCAAAACCAAGGAATCTCTTCACCGGCGTTAAGATCGGATTCCATTCCCATGATTCTGTTTCGTTCACCATTCTTCGATTTGGGAATTTAGGGCTCGAACCGATGGAGATTTTCTCGTCTGAAACAGGGGAATGGCGGCACTTGGCCTTCAATTTGGCGATCGATTCATTGTTTTTGCCCTTCGAAGGTCCGTCGGCGGTGGTTCTAAACGGGGTGTTTTATTGGCTGGAGTTTCGATCGATGATTTACGCTTTCGATTTGCTAAAAAACGAGTTTCTGAAAGTGGGATTTCCATTTGAGGAACCGGAGTATCGCCGGGAAGTATTCTCCCGTTGCCTCGCCGTCGCGGGTGGGGAGGTGGTAATGGCGTCGACCAACGGCGAGGTTATTGAGATTTGGATTCTTCAGGATAAGGCTTCGTCTTTGTGGGGTTTGAAGAGTAGATTAAACGTTGAAAGTCTCGTTGGCATTATCGCAAACACCTTGTGCGCAAGGGCGGCGACGGCGGCGGTTGGGCGGAGAATTGTTGGGATTGTGGGGTTTCAGGCATGGGATTCGGAAAGGATTTACTTGAACACGACGGAGGTAGTGGTTTGTTGTGATATTGGAAGTGCGAAAGTTGAGATTGTTCACCGGTTTGATGAGAGCTTGGGATGTACGGATGTTTCTGACTTCATGTTCTTACCTTACGAGTGTGTTCAGCTTGGTTGATTGTTGTAATGTTCGTAATGAGTAGAGCCCAGATATTTAAACCTCTACCAACTCGGTTAGGACGTGTCCACCCGTTAAGCTTTATTCAATAACACTCATGGTCACTCGTGTAGATTTGAGTCTTCACATTTTGCTTCAATGTTTCATTTCATTGACTATTATCATTATTGCTTTCTTCCTTGACCTGATTTCTTCCCAAATCTATATATATATATATATATATATATATTTTGTCCCATCAATCTGATCAAATTCTTGGATAATAGCAATTCTCCTTTTAAGATTATTTCTAAGATTATTTCAAAAATTAAAAATATTTTAAGATTATTTCTAAGATTATTTCAAAAATTAAAAATATTTGATGTTTATAACAAATATTAATATTAATTGTGAATGGTAAATGTTTGATATTTGAACCTACACTAAAAATGATTAATTTGGTTAATTTAGGGTTAAGTTTGTTTTAGTTTTCCTATTAATCAACGAAACGATGTCGTATTAAGTCATGTGAAACGGGCTTAGCAAAACACGGAAAGGACAGTAAAGAACTGCGTTTAGACACATCGACTGAAACCCTAACCCCAGAAAACGTAGACTCCGTGCCGTCGTCTTTCATATATTAAGAACCGCATTTGTTTTCATTTGCTTTCTTGATCGGAGGATAGAGAAGGCAGCTAGAGAGCCCATCGACAATGTCGAAGCGAGGTATGGTTTGATCGTTCTATCTCCATTTTGTTCCTGACATTCTCTTTATATGTAACTGTAAACGCACTAGTTGATTCGATCTTTGTTTTGCTACTGTTTTCATACTCTTAGATTTGAGATTTTTTTTATTGCTGTGTATCTATTTAGGTAGGGGAGGTTCCGCCGGGAATAAATTTAGGATGTCGCTAGGTCTTCCTGTGGCGGCTACAGTGAACTGTGCCGATAACACAGGAGCTAAGAACCTCTATATCATTTCGGTGAAGGGGATCAAGGGCCGCCTCAACCGTCTGCCATCTGCTTGTGTTGGTGACATGGTCATGGCGACGGTCAAGAAGGGAAAACCTGACCTCAGGAAGAAGGTGCTGCCTGCTGTAATTGTCAGGCAGCGCAAGCCATGGCGCCGAAAGGATGGTGTCTTTATGTACTTCGAAGGTAATTCACTACTTAAATTATCTGTCGTATTTCGCTTCCGATCATTTTTATACCATGTTATCTTGCGTTTAGGTTAGTTTGTGTAGGCATATAGTTATCGTTCTAGTTAACATTGATCGGTTGGATTGTTGATATTGGATGTAGTATCGGCGGTTATTCTTTGTGATTGAACCTATCTTAAAATGTGGATTATTTCTGTTTTTTATGTGTTGTGGATGAAATTTGGGTTAAGAAAATCCTATTACTCCGTTAGTTTAGTTTCATACAAACATGGTCTGTGTAGATTGTTACTGGGAGTAATTTTGGTGCTTTCTATTTTAATTCGATGGAAAAGGTTATTCAGAGAAGCGAATATCTTCATT